TCAGCTAATGTTTTTACGGAGATTTCTTTGAATCCCTGGTGCTAAAAACAACAAATAAACATTTCTCCCAGTCTCTACCCATTGACTGTGCTGGGGTACTCCTTAACATTTAGCCAGGCTGTTTACAACCTTGCTTTAGCCTTTGTGTCCTGATTGCACTGAAGCTAGAGACTAGCTGTAGGTGACAGCTTATGGTCTTCTCAAGGCTTGTGTGTCTGGATTTCTAAATTTGTCAGTATATGCGGGATTTTTTGAAAGCCCAAATTTCCCAAAGAACCCTCTCCAGGTTTTCTTCTCAGGCTTTCAGTGGCATAGTATATGCCTCAACCATGATCTTCTGCTGCAGACAACTGCAGATATCTTTTCCCTGTACAGTGTTTTTGAGCAAGGCCTATATGTTTTATATCCTAAATGAGTTCTGAGTTGGGTGAAACAGAAACAAGCATATTGCATCAGTCTGTCACGTGTTTCCCACATAGTTAGAACAGATAATCATAATTCCTTGTAAGTAAGGTCTGTTCTGGTCCCTCTAGAATCAAGGACCAGGGACCCACACTTGAAATGTGGGCTGCCATCTCAAGGCTGTCACCAAGCCAAGGAGGGTTGGGGTAAAGGCAAGTAGAAGTGCCACAAAGCTTTCCTACCATTTTGAAGTTGCCTTTTTTTTCCTTCTGATTTGGCATTTACTTCGTTGCAGTCAGCCTTTGACCTTTTCAGAATTCTGACAATGTTTGTTCTGATAGTTTCTGCTTGTTTTCTGATGCCTCTGAGGGACCTGAGCTTGGTGCTGCCTACTTCTTCATTCTGCTGGCATCATTCCACTTCATTAATTTTGTCCTCTTCCTTATTTCTTTCTTATTATATAAACTTTTTGCTTTAGAAGTTTTAGATTTATGGAAAAGTTACAAAGACAGTACAAAGAGTTTTCATATTCATTGACAAAGTTTCCCCTATCATTAACATCTTATATTAATATAGTACATTTGTCACAATTAATGAAACAATATTGATATATTATTACATAATGATCACTTTATTCAGATTTTCTTAATTTTTCCCTAATGTAATTTTTCTGTTCCAGGATATTTCCATCATGTCTCTGTCGGCTCTTCTTGGCTGTGGCAGTTTCTCAGACTTTTCTTGTTTTTGATAACCTTGACAGTTTTGAGGGGTTCAAGTCAGGTAGTTTTGTCCCTCAGTTGATAATTTGTCTACTGTTTTCCTCATAATTAGACTGAGGTTAGGGGTTCTTAGAGGAACACCACAGAGGTGGTATCATTCAATCACATCATATCAAGGGAAAATGCTGTCAGCATGATTTATCATGGTTGTATCACTGTTGATTACCTGGGTGAGGTAGTGTGGTCATGTTTCTCCACTGTAAAGTTATTCCTTTGTCCTCTGTTTTCAACTGTACTCTTTGGAATGAAGTGGAGAGTTATGCTATACCTCCTTGATGGCTGAGTTTCCCTATAAATTATTAGGAATTCTGCACAGCAGATTTGTTCTCTTGCATTTATTAATTTAATCATTTGTTTATATTAGTATGAATTCATTGCTAGTTATTTTGTACTTTGGTTATAATCCACTACCTTGTTCATTTTGTTGCTCAGATTGCTTCAGCTTGGCCTTTAGGATGTCTTCAATTGGTTCCTGTGTTCCTTTAACATAGCCCATTATTGTGTTTTCATTTGAGTACTTCCTCATTTTCTGGTACCAGAAGTGATTTCAGGCTCATTGTATGCATGCTCTGCCCCAGCCCTAGAAGCAACTGTTTTTTTGTTTGTTTGTTTTGAGATGGAGTTTTGCTCTTGTTACCCAGGCTGGAGTGCAATGGCACAATCTTGGCTCACCACAACCAAAGCACCTGGTTTTTAAAGGAGCACTGGTTTTCTTTTCTCTCCCTCCCCTGCTTCTTCCCTCTTTCCCTCCCTTCCTCCCTCCCTCCCTCCCTCCCTCCCTCCCTCCCTCCCTTCCTTCCCTCCTTCCCTCCTTCCCTCCTTCCTTTCTTTCCTTTGTTTCTCTTTCTTTCTCTTTCTTTTGAGATGGAGTCTCATTCTGTCACCCAGGCTGGAGTGCAGTGGTGTGATCTCGGCTTACTGCAACCTCCCCCTTCTGGTTTCAGCGATTCTCTCTCTGCCTTCCGAGTAGTGGGGATTACAAGTGTATACCACTATGCCTGGCTAAATTAGATTGTTTAGCTTTTGTAAGATATTGCCAAACTGGTTTCCAGAGGTGCTATATCATTTTGCAGTCCCACCAACTGTGAATCAAAATTCCTGTTGTTCTGCATCTGAACCTAAAATTGATATGGTCATTGTTTTGGATTTAGTAAATGTCATGGCATCTCATTTAAATCCATTGTTTTGGATTTTAGTAAATGTCATGGCATCTCATTTTTATTTCTGTAATGACACATGATGGTGAGCATCTGTTCATATGTTTATTTGCTATTGGTCTGTCTTTGGTGATGTGTCTATTCAGATCTTTTGCCTATTTTTTTTTTCCTTTTTTTTTTTTGAGAGGAAGTCTCGCTCTGTCACCCAGGCTGGAGTACAATGGCACAATCCCAGCTCACTGCAACCCCTGACTCCCAGGTTCAAGCAAGTAGCTGGGATTATGGGACTGCCACCACGTCTGGCTAATTTTTTAATATTTTTAGGAGAGACGGAGTTTCGCCATGTTGGCCAGGCTGTTCTGGAACTCCTGACCTCAGGTGATCCACCTTCCTCAGCCTCCCAAAGTGCTGGGATTACAGTGCTGAGCCACTGTACCGTCCCTTTTGCTTATTCTTCAAGCTGGATAATTTGTGTTCTTATTATTGAGTTTTGAGGGTTCTTTTGCATATTTTGGTCATAACTCCTTTATTAGATAAATGTTTGTAAATAGTTTTTCTCAGTCTGTGGCTTGTCTTTTCATTTTTGTAGAAGTGTCTTTTGCAGAGCAAAACATGAATTTGATGCTATAAATTTCCCTCTATAAACTACTGTCTTTGCATCCCATACATTTTGAGAAGTAGTATTTTCATTTAAAACTTTCTTTTGAGACGTTTTCTTCGATCCATAGGCTATTTGTGTGTTATTTAGCTTTCAGGCATTTGGAGGATTTTTCAGCTGTCCCTTGCTTATTGCTTTCTATTTGATTCTGTGGTAGTTGGAGAACATGTTTTTTATGTGATAGCTATAGTGTTGAGTTTGTTAGGGTGTGTTTAATGGCCCAAAATGTTTTATGTTGGTGAATGTTCTATGTGAACATGAACAGAATGATAGAATGTGTATTTTATTGTTTGGGATGGAGTATTCTATAAATGTCACTTAGATCAAGTTGATTGCTAGTGCTATTTTGCATCATCTATGTACTTACTGATTTCTGCCCTGCTTGATCCATTAGAACTTACAGCGGTGTTGAGGTCTCCAATTATGGTGTAGATTTCCAAGTTCTCCTTTTACTTGTAACAGTTTTTGCCTTATGTATTTTGATAGTCTTTTGTTACTTGCATATTTGTTTCAGATTATGTCTTCTTTCTCTAATATGATTTTAAACCCATCTAATAAACTCTTCATTTCAGGTATTATATTTTTCAGCTCTAGAATGTCCATTTTGTGCATATGTGTGTATGTGTATGCATGTATGAGAGGTCTCTGAGACCACCCCCAGGTTATTAATGATTCCCTAGGATGACTCTGTGTATATCGGAGCATGGTATTAGAAACCAAAATTGGGGTGCTGGGTGTGCCTATTGTTACTGATGTATTATTGCTTGTAGACCCATAGTCACATTTATGGCTATGATTTATCGTGGTGAAAGGATAGAGAGCAAAATCAGTGAAATTCCCAGAGTCTTCTCCGAACAGAGTCTCATAGAACACACTTAGCTCCTCTAGCAATGACATCTGACAACGCACATAAAATATGTACCAAGGAAACTCAGTAGACATTTGGTGCCCAGAATTTTTATTGGAGGCTGGTCACATAGGTTCTCTCTGGTTATCATGTACCGAAATTCTAGACTCCCCGAAGCAATGCACATATTGAGTATAAACCATATTACTTATGTAAACAGCTCAGGCTCAGTGAGCCATTCTTATCAGAGACGGTTTAGGCCAGAAGCTTTCTGAGATCTAAGTTCCCAGATGCCAATTATGGATAATCTTTTGTAGCAGACCTTTCAAAACTTAGTAGTGTCAGGTCTGCGATATTAACGTTTTTTCTGTATAACACACATACCATGTATGTGTTGAACTCTCATTCATCTCTCAGTATTTTCTTCTATTCAACATATTAATTATAATTTGTTTTGAAGTTTTTGTTTGTAATTTCACTGTCTTGGTCACCTGTGAGTTTGGTTTTATTTGTATTTTTAAAAAATTTGTCCCTATCTCTTCATATCGCATGAAATTTTTTTACTGGATGCCAAATACTGTGTTTAAAAACAGAAACACTGGAAACATTGGTGGAAGCTCCAGAAGATGATCTCGTTGAGCAGAGAAGATTAATTCTTTTCTCTGAGGGCATGTATTCACTTGAATCAATATGTGCTGAGCTTGGTCAGGGCCTGTGCCATATTCATTTCAATTCCATTATTTATTTAAATAACAAAGTTTTACTTCCTTGATGACAGTTAACTTGATAAGGTAAGCGGTAATATGAAACAATGAATATTTCCTCTGTAACTTCAGTCTCCTTGGTATACACTGCTAGCTCCTGCAGTGTGCAACTTAATAAATGTTAATCTGTATATGTCCTTATCAGGTCATAAGCACTTTGAGAACAGGGACCATGCTTGTCTGTTTTCATCAGTAGGATTTACAGCAGCTGGCACAATTCCAGGCCCTTAGTAGAAATTCAATTTATACAAGATATTTTGTATTCTATATAGTATAGCACAAAGGGAACCTATCTGTCATTTTTTAGTAAACTCTAAAGAGATTAATTCTCTTAAATCTTTTCTATATCATCTAGTTTTGACCATTTCATATAAAAAGAATATACTATTACAGGAACAAGTGTCATTCAAGGATGTGTGTGTGGACTTCACTGAGGAAGAATGGTATCTGCTGGACCCTGCTCAGAAGATGCTATACAGAGATGTGATCCTGGAAAATTATAGCAATCTTGTCTCAGTAGGTAAGGATTTTTATCCCCACATGGCTATCAATAGCATGCATTTATTAGTTGCTGAAGCATATGAATGCCCTGTAATTTTCTGATTTAAAGCTTGAGATTGAAGGCTCTGAGATGAGAAATCCCATTTGGCCACCATAAATGTGCTCTTCCCTCCTCAGGGATTGGTTCATTTTTGCACCTTCTTTGAGCAGCTGGTGAAGTTTTGCCTTTCTTCCCTGTCATTTATTCAGAGTCCCTGAAGCCAAGCTATTTAGCTCCAGTCCTGTGTTACTTTCTCTTAACAGGGTATTGCATTACTAAGCCAGAAGTGATCTTTAAGATTGAGCAAGGAGAAGAACCCTGGATATTAGAGAAAGGATTCCCAAGCCAGTGCCACCCAGGTGAGTTAGTGAATTCAAGGCAGATGAAAGCCAGAGGAAACTAGAACTTAGGTAATTGTTTTAGGATTCGTCACCTTTGGTATATTTTTCATAAAAGTCTATTTTTAGCTCCCGACATTTGGAAATGGTCAAAAGCAATTGGCCCACATCCCTGTTGCTTTAATCACCCCTCCATATGTTATGTGACTCATAAATCCTTTTCATTTTTTGACATTTTTGAGTATTTTACTTATAATCCAAACCCAGCTGGCTTCATTTTAGATATGTTTTGTTGGCTAGTTTGTCTTTATCTTTTGAAGTTGTTTGGCTTCCTTCTGTTGTCTTGGACACCTTTTGTTAGCTGACAGGTGTTCATGCAGTCCTTCCATATATTCATTTAACAATACATAACGAGCGCTAACTATGTCCATTATGTTTTAGGTAGTTAACAGAATAATGGTCCTGGTATCATAAAGTGTGTATTACAATAAAGGACAAAAAATTGTGTGTGTGTGTGTGTGTGTGTGTACATGTCTGCATGTGTATATATATGTGTGTGTGTGTGTGTGTTTGTGTGTGTATAGGTACACACATACACTGTGTTGGGTCATGCTAAGTGCTATGAAGAGAATTCACATGGGAAAGGAGGACGAAGAATGACAGTATATTCTATTTGGCAAGTAAGTTCAAGAGAACCTTTTTGAGGACATCCCACATTAGAGATGAGGCTTTAGTAATATGAAAGTGTGAGCTCTGTGGATTCAGAGTAGTCCAGGCAGAGGGAACATCAGATACCAAACCTCTTAGGCAAGTGTGTTCTTAGAATGTTTAAACAGTGTCAGTAATTCGAGAAGGAGATGTTAAGTGGGGAACCACTGTAACTGGAAGCTAGCAGGCATGGTGGAGACTGGTAGGAGATAATGTTGTGAGAAGTAACATGAACCATGGTAGATATGTTAATTTTACTTTTGGTGCTGTGAGAAACTGTTTGTTTTGAGTAAATGTAAATCAGCTTAAGTCATCAGATCGTATATTCACTGCATAGATGTCAGTGCATACATCTATGCAGTGAATATAGTGTTGTGGGTGGTTGTGGGTGGCATGGGTAGGGACGGGGTACCATTATATGCTTCAGAGGAGAGAGGATAGTGGATGAGACTGTGCTGGAGGTGCCAGAGGTACTGAGAAGTGGTAGGTTTGTACAAATATCTTGAAGATGGCGCCAAGAGCATTTGCTGTCAGATTGGATATGAGATAAAGGGGAATGGAGCATGACCCCAATAATTTGTCTCAAGCAACTAGATAAATTAGGGTATCATTTACTGACACAGATAAAAATTAGGAACATATAAGGGAGTTATCACAGATTTAATTTTGAACATGAGAAGTTGGAGGTAACTGTTAGAATCAAGTCTGTTTTTGACTAGGAGGTTGATCATGTGTAAGTACATGGTTGAGGCTAGAACTAGAAGTATCCATTTGAAAGGTATCAACTTTAGATGATGTTAAAGGAATGAGGCGAATGAGATCTTCAAGAGCAGAGGTGAATAGACTTTTTTGTAAATTACCAGATAGTAAATGTTTTAGGCTTAGCAGGCCACTTATGTTCATGGTTGTAGCTGCTCCTCCCCATCTTCTTTCTTTTCCTTATTCTTCTTCTTTCTCCTCTTGCTCTTTCTCCCTCCTCTCTTTTCCTCTCCCCTCCTCTCTACTGCCTTATCCAGCATTTTCCATTTAAAAACTTAAAAATCATTCTTAGGTCAAGGACCATTGCTTTGTAGTTATATGCCAACCCCTTTTCTAGAGTGTGATTGTATGTAGGTGAGAGTTGTCCTGGGACAATAATGCTTTTAGTAAGTATTAAATTCACCCCTTTGAGAATATTGTAGAATAACAGTCTGAGGTACAGAAAAACCAGAGAGCCTGGTTTCCTGTAGTCAAACAAGGTTGATTCTGCCATTCTACTGCTGTCTTGAATGGCAACCATGTCATCACTGTACTAAACCTGTTAATACCTCTTACTGGTCTCTTTGTTCCTATTGTTATTTTTCATTTAAAACTATCTTCTACATACCTTTGTATTCTCACTTTTCATTGATATCACTCCAAAGCAAAACTGTGTCTGTGTTGTCTCATTCTTGACTCAGTCTAATTGCTAGTTGTCTAATTCCTTTCTTTCTTTTTTTTTTTCTTTTTTGAGAGAGAGTCTTGCTCTATAACCTAGGTAGGAGTGCAATGGTGTGATCTCAGCTCACTGCAGCCTCTGCCTCCCAGGTTTAAGGGATTTTCCTGCCTCAGCCTCCTGTGTAGCTGAAACTACAGGCGCACACCACCATATCCAGCTAATTTTTGTATTTTTAGTAGAGATGGGGTTTTACCATGTTGGCCAGGATGGTCTTGATCTCCTGACCTTGTGATCCACCTGCCTCAGCCTCCTAAAGTGCTGGGATTACAGGCATGAGCCATTGTGCCTGGCCTTCTTCTTCTTCTTTTTTTTTTTTTGACATGGAGGTTACTCTTGTTGCCCAGGCTGGAGTGCAATAGTGTGATCTCAGCTCACGACAACCTCCACCTCCTGGGTTCAAGTGATTCTCCTGCCTCAGCCTCCCAAGTAGCTGGGATTACAGGCATGCGTTATCACACCCAGCTAGTTTCATATTTTTTTTAGTAGAGGTGGGGTTTCACCATGTTGGTCAGGCAGGTCTTGAACGCCTGACCCCAGGTGATCCACCCACCTCCACCTCCCAAAGTGCTGGGATTATAGGCGTGAGCCACTGTGCCTGGCCTTGTCTTCATTTCTAATTCCTAATCGCTTATTTTCTTTTTTTTAGTCTAAAGCATTCAATTTATCTTTCTTTAGCTTAACAAAGTAACCTAAAGTTGCTGCTTATTAATAAATTAAATTACCCTTCCTTTTATTTTATTTTTTTAATTGTAAACCCTTGTCTCAAGAACTGACTTTGAATAGATAGCAGCAAGGGAATTACTCTGTAAATTTCCATTTCAATGACTATAATAGGATAGTCCTTTCCTACCTGTCTTAAATTTCCTTGTTTGTGCTCCCCAAAATTTATGTCAAATCCCGCTCTATTCTGTATCTTAAATTTTATTTAGAAGTATTTTCTTATTTATCAAAAAACTCCCAGTCTTGTTTGCCTGGCCTTTTTTTTAGGTAATTCATACTGTGTTTGTAAAGTGTTTAGACATAGAATAATAATGGCTTGTTATTATTTGACTTATTTCTAAATTAGAACTTAATTTTTTGCTGAAACTTAAATAGCCCAGATTTTATGACATTAACTCACCAGTGGCTATATGCCGAAAATTCAGACCTGTTCATATGGCTTAGGGTTGCTTAGGATTTCTGTCTCTATTGAGATTTTTGTTCTCCAAAAGAGAAAGGCCTCTCTTACTAATTTGGATATTTTGATAATTACTTTGTTAATTATCTATGTAGCCAGATATAGGAGAGAGGTCATTTATTTCCATACACTCTGAAAGCATTCTATGATACTGTTGCTAAGTACACATTCCCATATTTTGTCCTGCTGTATGATCACTGATCAGATTCAGTGCATGTTGCTTTATAAGAATAATGTATAGTTTACTCAGTGAGGGCAGAGGAAACAAGACTATAGTAACACCTGCCAAGATCTGGACTCTGGTCACAATAGAGGGTATGACATTGAGCAAGGGATTTACTTTATGTTACAATGAATTATATAGACAGTCATTTTTAAAGAATGGGTCAAATGGAGCCTTAAAATGGTAGAGCTGTTATAGAGATTTTTCCTTCATTATTATTAGTAGTAGTTTTTTTTTTTTTAAGTTAAAGTAGCAGTTCACTGAAGGATATCCAGGATCTAAGGAGAAATAAGGATAGAATGTTTCTAGTTGAGTGGAAGGTTTGTTGTTGGGGATGAGCAATTTGTGAGAGTTGCTCACAACTAATCTCTAGCCAAACTGCACAAAAATATTTTTAATGAATTTGCATAATATTGAGAAGATGAGGGTATAAACTATGCTCTACAGCTTTTGAACCTAATTCTTATGTTTCTCACTACCACTTACTCTATTTCCTTTTAAAAAAACAACTCCCGGCCGGGCGCAGTGGCTGAAGCCTGTAATCCCTGCACTTTGGGAGGCCGAGGCGGGTGGATCACGAGGTCAAGAGATCGAGACCATCCTGGTCAACTGGTGAAATCCCGTCTCTACTAAAAATACAAAAAATTAGCTGGGCATGGTGGCGTGTGCCTGTAATCCCAGCTACTTGGGAGGCTGAGGCAGGAGAATTACCTGAACCCAGGAGGCGGAGGTTGCGGTGAGCCGAGATCGCGCCATTGCACTCCAGCCTGGGTAACAAGAGCAAAACTCCGTCTCAAAAAAAAAAAAAAAAAACAACTCCTTTGAACTCATTCTGTGTATTTCCTTCCCTTTGAAAGAAGAGCTCTCAGAATATCTCCATCTCCTGTTTATCATGTCTTGAGTTTATTTTACCTTCCCTAGCTTGCTTTTCCGACAGCATTTAAAAGAGTATTTCTTGTCAATAAAACTTAAAGAAAACGCTAGATACTGGGCTGTATAGGACTATTCTTTTGAACCCAAGGAAGTTGATGTTTTCAGAATGTTAATTTTCCTGTTGATTCAAAGATAGAAAGAACCATGTACTCTGGTGGGAATTCTGCCCCAATAAACTGTGTGTGAGTGGATTAGCACCAAACTCTGTTTTGTGTCCACCAAACCTAATTCATCCTCTGAAACCCCTTGTCTGCTCATCTTCACCATCACTTTACCCAGTGTTCATTGTCTCTGTTGGGTTTACCTCATTTTCTCTGAGTTTTTCTATTTTGGAATCAGTCACTCTAGTTCCCTGTGCTGTGAATTTTATTCTCCTTTTCTTTTCAGTTTTGAAGGTTATATTTATAAAATATTAAATGTCATTGACAGTTTCCTCTCCCCGTTTCCATGGAAGCATGTTAATGTTTTCGATCTAAATCTTCTTGAAGGGTAAAGAAAATGTACACTGGAACTCAGTTCACACCGGGAAGCTGAACCTAAAACAAAAGAATTGACTGTATGATAGGGCATTTGTGTAAAAGTTCAGTTCCATCAGAAATGTTTTAAGGTTCATAAGATGTGGTTATTTCTCTCATTTCTAGAAAGGAAATGGAAAGCTGATGACGTGTTAAAGAGCAGCCAGGATCATGAAGATGACCATTTTTGGGAGCTTCTATTCCACAACAACAAAAGAGTAAGTGCAGAAAGTGGAGATAAAGAAAGGAAAACTTTCAATTTGGGCACAGACCCTGTTTCTTTAAGAAATTATCCCTATAAAATTTGTGACTCATGTGAAATGAGTTTGAAAAATATTTCAGGCTTAATTATTAATAAAAAGAACTGTTCCAGGAAGAAGCCTGATGAGTTTAATGTATGTGAGAAATTGCTCCTTGATATTAGGCATGAGAAAATTCCTTTTGGAGAGAAATCTTATAAATATGATCAAAAAAGGAATGCCATTAATTATCACCAGGATCTCAGTCAGCCAATTTTTGATCAAACTTTTGAGTATAATAAAAATGGACAAGGCTTCCATGATGAGGCAGCATTTTTAACAAATAAGAGATCTCAGATAGGAGAGACAGTCTGTAAATATAATGAATGTGGAAGAACATTCATTGAAAGTTTAAAGCTCAATGTATCTCAAAGAACTCATTTGGAAATGGAGCCATATGGATGCAGTATTTGTGGGAAGTCCTTCTGTGTGGATTTAAGATTTGGACATCAGAGAGCTCTTCCAAAGGACAATCCTTATGAATATAATGAATATGGGGAAATCTGTGACAACTCAGCTTTCCTTATCCATCAGGGAGCATACCCAAGAAAGATTCTCCGTGAATATAAAGTGAGTGACAAAACGTGGGAAAAGTCAACTCTCTTAAAACATCAGATAATACATGTGGGGGGAAAGTCTTATAATTACAATGAAAATGGGAGTAATTTCAGCAAGAAATCACATCTTACCCAGCTTCGGAGAGCTCACGCAGGAGAAAAAACCTTTGAATGTGGTGAATGTGGGAAAACCTTCTGGGAGAAGTCAAACCTCACTCAACATCAGAGAACACACACAGGAGAGAAGCCCTATGAATGTACTGAATGTGGGAAAGCCTTTTGCCAGAAACCACACTTGACCAACCATCAGCGAACACATACAGGAGAAAAACCCTATGAATGTAAGCAGTGTGGAAAAACATTCTGCGTGAAGTCAAACCTCACTGAACATCAGAGAACACACACAGGGGAGAAGCCCTATGAATGTAATGCATGTGGGAAATCCTTCTGCCACAGATCAGCCCTCACTGTCCATCAGAGAACACACACAGGGGAGAAACCCTTTATATGTAATGAATGTGGAAAATCCTTTTGTGTGAAGTCAAACCTCATTGTACATCAAAGAACTCACACAGGGGAGAAACCCTATAAGTGTAATGAATGTGGGAAAACCTTCTGTGAAAAATCAGCTCTCACTAAACATCAGAGGACTCACACAGGAGAGAAGCCTTATGAGTGTAATGCATGTGGGAAGACCTTTAGTCAGAGGTCAGTACTCACCAAACATCAGAGAATTCACATGAGGGTGAAAGCTCTTTCAACATCCTGAATGTTAGAAGCCTTCATACACCTGTGAAATTTGTTACACATTTTCAAAAAAGGAGATTAGAGAAAGCCAAAGAATGCCAGAAACTTGTAGAAAATGACTTCTGGAATATATGAAAGCTTTCAAGAAAAACTAAACTTTTCATTGGAAAATTTGTACTGAGGGGAATCCTATTCATCTAAGTAATACGGTAAAAATCTTTATCTAGAATTTGTGTTGTTTAGTGTTATATTCCAGATGTGATACCAAAATTTTATTGTAAATATAATGGACAATATTCATTTATACCCATATTCACAGTAGAATCTGAAGCTTATAAAAGATGAATGACAGCAGCATTAAACATGTATGTAGAGTCCCCGATGTTTGTAGACCTTATGTGAGTATGCTAATGTAATAAATTTGAATATGCTTGATCTGTATATTAGAGCTCAACATGATTGTGAGGAGGAAATATGTACCCTTAATTGAGTAACTACTATGGTATGTGTTAATATTTTCTACACTAAATACCACTGGTGTCTTTATAGGTTGATATATATATGTGTATGTTTGTATGTATGTATGTGTGTATATGTAAATATATTTCTGCACACATACTTAAATATAGTGATGTGCTAGTATAACCTCATACTGACTTAAAAGTGCTGCTGATTGTTAAATTTTAAGGAATTTTGTGAGCCAGTTATTAAAATCAGTCATTATTTAAAATATGTAAACTTACAGTTAAATTGAATATGAAGGTAATAAATACTCAGCATTCATCACTTCCTAATTATTTGGCTACATTTCACTATTACCTGGGTTGTTTTACTTATATCATTTAATCTGTATGATGAAAATACCATATAATTATGTGTACTGCACATCTATCTCTTCCCAACTCCACAGTCAGTGCTGTCTTGTTGGTAGCTTGGACTTAGTGGGAGTATTTACACCATGGAAATTTACAAACTATAAATCAGGGTTTTAATTTTCTCAGAGAACCTGCTGTCATTATAGCACATCACTGTGGATATATGAAAGCATATTTGGCAATACAAACTGCATACCCCCTTTTCTATTACCTGACGTAAATAAATGGCTATGGCCATTTATAGCTGAACTGCGTCTTCAAGAAAGAAGCCAAAAATATGTTTCTGAGGTTTTTAACTACCTCTGAATCTGTCCTACTCTAAATACTACCAGAGTCTCGTAGGTTGGCTGGTATGTTTTTAGTGAAATATTATTTCTTTTCATTTTTTGAGACAGAGTCTTGCTCTGTCACCAGGCTGGAGTGCAGTGACCCGATCTTGGCTCACTGCAACCTCTGCCTCCTGAGTTCAAATGATTCTCCTGCCTCAGCCTCCTGAGTAGCTGGGACTACAGGTGTGTGCCACCACACCCAGCTAATTTTTGTATTTTTAGTAGAGATGGGGTTTCACCATGTTGGCCAGGATGGTCTTAATCTCTTGACCTCATGATCCACCTGCCTCGGCCTCCCAAAGTGCTGGGAGTGAGCCACTGCACCCGGCCCAGTGAAATATTATTTCACAAAGAACTATATTACATACCTTTCCTCTGACTGTTTCCTGGCTTATATGCATGAATATGGTCAATATTGAACTATCACTTCAGTAAGGAAGTTAAACAATAGTTTTCTGACATTTTTCAGCTACCTCTGGGTCATTTTGTAATGTAAATGCTGTCAATAATAATGATTTTTAGCTAAATTATGCAAAGGTTAACATCAGTTATAAACAGTAATACTGTACTCCTCAAATAAAAAGTGGTGGTATGTAATGAAAGTCCCTTTTCATACCCTTGGTACTTCATTGTGTATCTATTTAGGCATGGTCTATATAACACTAGTTCTGCATATTAGTATTGTAGAGTCGCTCTGCCTCCTTTGTCCTGTTGTTTCCTTTGCCCCTTGGAACACATCGGTCAGCAGTTCTAAAAGACACTGCCCACATGATGGCCATTCCTTACTTCATCCTTGCTGAGCTAATTTGTATTTTTGTGCATCCTTCTCCCAGATGACTTAGGTGGTAAGTCCAGATTAGTCAAAGCTAATCGTGGAAATTCAATTTCAGTGATTTTGTTGGGGTGAACTTGGGAGCAAAGATGTTTGGAAAGTATTTTGTAGTACTTCTGGGAAAGATCTCCTTGATAAAACATTGTCATGACATGAGAAGGGACTGTTCCTCTTCTGCCGGGCTTTTTTCATGTCTGTACATGGTATTGGCTTATTGTTTGTGTCTTTGAAGAAGGGCAGTAGCCTGAAGATAACAGTGCACAAGGTGGGAAAAGCTGGCTCAGAGGTGACATGCTCTCTGTACCTGCTGTCTACTGAGACTTCGTATAACCTGCAATAACTGTTTTTTATTTGGTCTTAGGGCTGTCTGATACTTAGAGCTGAAGGCATTCCAGCTGACACAAAGGAATATTTTTCTAAGTGTTAATGTTCTGTACAGTAGTTAGGGAGAAGAATTATTTCTTTTGACAAGTTAATATAAAGATGGTTGTTTGTATCAGCCATGGTTCTTTCTGGTGGAAAACAGAATTCTCCAACTAAAAATATTTTAATGGCAGACTGATTAGAGTGGTATGGGCCAGAAACAAGGGACATGGAAACACACAGAGACTTGTATCAGCAGGAAGCCGTTGCCATTCTGAGGCTTGAAGGGGCAAGATTGGAAACACTGTTACCAGAGCCCAGTAAGAACTGCTGTCATGGAGGAGGCGCAACCTTGTAAGAGACATCATTACTACCAGAATTGTTGTGCCGAATTGCTGGTGCCTCTCTTTGGAGAAACCAACTAGGTATATCTGCAGAAGAGCAGAGGTGGACACAGGGAAGGGTGGAGAGAGAATCTGGGAAGAGAAATGGAGAATAAGCAGTACAGTGTTTTTCATTTCTGTGAATTCCTATGTAGAAGGCTCAGTGTTAGAAATAAAGTTACTCTACTAGTTGAAACTTAAGTGTTTTGGTTTGTTCTGCTTTCTCATTGGTGTAAGTAAACTCCCTTTGGAACCACACAGGTATGTCTCCTTCAACGTGTATGAAGTGGATATATTAAATCACATTATTCATACTTCTGTGTGGTGTTCCTTATTGTATGTGGTATAAGGTGTTCTTCCAAATAAATAGCCAGTTGTCCCTGCACTGTTTGATTAAATTCATCCTTTCCCATGTTGATTTGATACATTTTTATTATGTACTTAAATATATGTTGTGACTGTTGCTTTCATCTGCTCATTGCAATTTTTCTATATTCTTTTAGTAATAGAACCGGTCATTGTGATCATGGGGTGGCATTTACTCCAATCCTGGCTTCACAGAATACTGTGTCTTCATGGCCTCCACATTTGTATTGATCCAGAAATGATCATTTGTTACAAAATAGACCAGTGACAACCTATCCTAGAATATTTTTATTGGGAGGTCACCATAGACTGGATAGTTTCGTACTGCTGCCAGCAGTCATATTCAGAAAGTACATTTGCTCTATAATCTATTGCAAGTCAGTCCTCAACAGAAAAAATGAAAAAAGAAAAAAAAGTTCTATAAAGGAAATTATCTGGGCTTGGTGCGATGTCTCATCCCTGTAATCCCAGCGTTTTGGGATGCCTTGGTGGGCAGATCAGGTGAGGTCAGAAGTTCAAGACCAATCTGGCCAACGTGGTGAAACCCCATCTCTACTAATAATACAAAAAAGGAGAAACATTAGCCAGGCATGGTGGCCGGTAACTGTAGTCCCAGCCACTTGGGAGGCTGAGGTATGAGATTCCCTTGAATCTGGGATGTGTAGGCTGCAGTGAGGCAAGATTTCACTACTGCACTCTAGCCTGGGCAACAGAGTGACACTCTATCTCAAATAAATAAATGAATGAATGAATGAAAAAAAGGAAAAGGAAAAGGATATGGCTGTGATAAGCATCATAAAGAAAAATCAAAATAGGAAAAGTTGTCACAGATATATACGGTTTGATTTCAGATAGGATGGAGAGGAAAAGACCTTAGTGAGCAGGCTACATTGAGAGAGGAGTAATGTGGATAAAATCTCGAAGAAGAGTGTGTGTTCACATGGGTATATCTGACACATGCATGTAAACCAAAAACTTTATATGATTCTGTTTCATGAGACACTTATTCTAATTACCTGTACTGTACTTTTATATTTTCTCTTCTACTGCATTCTATTAAAATAAATACTTTTTTCCATACACTACACTGATCTCACAGCCAACAAGTAGTTTACCTAGTGCACTCATGTTTAAACCAGGACGAGAATTGCTTAGTCGTAGATTTGTGATTTCTGAAATGACTAATCACTCCTAGTGCCTGGAAATGGTTTTCTGATAACCTCTGAAGGGCCTGTTTTTGGAGTTGGGCCTATTTTCTGTCTTGAACTCACCCTCCCCTGGTCTAGTGGGCCCTGTCACTTCAGACCCAACCTGTATTTAGCAGGGAAATGTGGAACCATTGCTTCTGGGAGGATTCAGCCCATGGGTATACTTGATGCCTTCAACCCCTACTCCTGTTTGCTGCTGGCAACCAGAGACTGTGGCTGTGACTGCCCTGGATTCATTCTTCATATCTCTCTTTTTCTGAGGAAGACTTACCTATTCCTATTCCAATTTTTCCACTAATTCTTCCTCTGTTGCCCAGTGACTTGACACTGCACACTCAACCTCCTCCCTTTTATCTGAGGAACTCCAACTCCCTCTTCCTAACCTACCGCTCTTCTTAGATTTTGCATTCCCAGGCATCCCTTTCAGACAACAAAGAACCAGTGTCTTCTCTTAGACACTATTTAGAAAGAACAAGTTCTCAGATACTTTGGGAGGTAAGAACTGATGATTAATATGAAGCTATCCCTAGCTTTGCACAGTGGCCAAAGAGGTTTATCTGAGGCACAATTATTGCTAATTGAAAATTTTCCCAAGGAGGAACTCAAGATGGCGCTGTGAGAACAACCCAGGATTGAAGCTCTCGGTTAATCCGCGGAGAGGTGAGTCAGAGTTGCATTTTCAGACTGATCTTTGTTGCCCACAGAACGGGGAAATTCCCAAGTATAAAGGAGACGCGGGACACCAGGCAGAGGCTCTGCCTGGAGAAGCCGGCAGCCGGGGTGGTGGCAGCCGGCCCTACCCAGCGATCCCCACAGGGCGTGCTTGTCCGGGTGCCCTGTTGAAACGGCAACCTGAGACTTGAGAGGGCTGAACTTGAGACTGAAAGGGACTTGGGCAGTGGGCCAGCCCAGGGGATTGCAGGGACACAGCATTTGGGATAGCACAGTGGGACAGACAAAACGGCGATTCCAAACGCTCGCCGTTGAGATGGTCCCTGAGACGCTCCATGGGGGAGGGGCGTCCACCATTACCGAGGCAACCCGCCCTGACTGAAACACACGCCCACTGCTGACGCAGCCTGCAGTTGCCGAGGCACCCCGCCCCTACTGAGATACACGCCCACTGTTGATGCCGCCTGCCATTGCCAAGGCAACCCGCTATAACAGAGAGACTCCACTGCAGGGCGTAGCCCGTGGCGGAGACCGCAGCAGAAGAACAAGAGCCTGCAGCAACAGGGCGAACCGCACAACAGCAGGGCGGAGCCTCGGCAGTCAAATAGTGATTAGACTGCCTCCTAGCTGGGCAGGACACCTCAACAGACATCCAAAAACAAAGCCCCAACCCCCAATACAGAGCATTTGAGAAAAAAAGGGGTTTAATGAGCTCTGTTGCAGCAGAATCAAACATAGCAGCCTAACAGCCCTGAATGAACAACAGAGCTCACAGCTCAGCACTTGAGCTCCTATAAAGTACAGACTGTCTCCTCAAGCAGCTCCCTGACCCCTCTATATCCAAAAGACTGACATTTGGCAGGCATCATCCTGGGACAAAGATAGCAGAAAAAGAAACTGGTAGCATCCCTCACTGTTCCGCAGTTGCTATAGGTGCACCCCAGACAAGCAGGGCCTGGAGTGGACCTCAGCAGTCATACAGCGAAGGGGCTAGACTGGTAGAAGGAAAACCAAGTAACAGAAATACTTCATCACCAACAATCTGGGTGTCCACTAAGAGACCCAATCAAAAAGTCAGCACATACACAGACGACAAGTAGATAAATCCACAAAGATGGGGAGAAACCAGCGCAAAAATGAGGAAAACACCCGAAACCAGAACACCTCACCTCCTAGAAAGGACCAAAACTCCTCACCAGCAAGGGAACAAAGCTGGACGGAGAATGACTGTGAGGAAATGACAGAATTAGACTTCAGAAGGTGGATAATGAGAAATTTTTGTGAGCTAAAAGAACATATATTAAATCAATGCAAAGAAACTAAGAACCTTGAAAAAAGATAGGAAAAAAGATTTGAGGAAATGATGACAAGAATGGATAACTTAGGAATATGAATGAATTAAAGGAGCTGAAAAACACAATACGAGAACTTCGTGAAGCATGCACAAGTTTGAATACCTGAATTGACGAAGCAGAAGAAAGAATATCTGAAGTCGAAGATCAACTCAATGAAATAAAACAAGAAACCAAGATCAGAGAAAAAAGCGCAAAAAGGAATGAACAAAGTCTCCAAGAAATGTGGGACTATGTGACAAGACCTAACCTACGTTTGATAGGTGTACCAGAAGGGGACGAAGAGAATGAATCTAAGCTGAAAAATACTCTTCAGGACATCATCCAGGAAAAATTCCCCCACCTAGCAAGACAGGTCAACACTCAAATGCAGGAAATAAAGAGAACACCACAAAGATATTCCGCAAGAAGAGCAACCCCAAGGCACATAATTGTCAGATTCAACAAGGTTGAAATAAAGGAGAAAATACTAAGGGCAGCCAGAGAGAAAGGTCGGGTCACCCACAAAGGGAAGCCCATCAGACTCACAGCAGATCTCTCGGCAGAAACACTGCAAGCCAGAAGGTAGTGGGGGCCAATATTCAACATCCTTAAAAAAAAGAACTTTCAACCCAGAATTTCATATCCAGCCAAACTGAGCTTCAGAAGTGAAGGAAAAATAAAATCCTTTGCGAACAAGCAAGTACTCAGAGATTTTGTCACCACCAGGCCTGCTTTACAAGAGCTCCTAAAAGAGGCACTATACATAGAAAGGAACAACCAGTACCAGCCATTCCAAAATCACACTAAATGCTAAAGAGCATCAACATAATGAAGAATCTACAACAACTAACGGGCAAAACAGCCAGCTAGCATCAAAATGGCAGTATCAAATTCACACATAACAATATTAACTCTAAATGTAAATGGACTAAATGCACCAATCAAAAGACAGACTGGCAAATTGGATAAAAATCCAAAACCCATCAGTGTGCTGTATTCAGGAAACCCATCTCACATGCAAGGATACACAAAGACTCAAAATAAAGGGATGGAGGAAGATTTACCAAGCAAATGGAGAGCAAAAAACAGCAGGAGTTGCAATTCTCATCTCTGATAATAGACTTTAAAGCAACAAAGATCAAAAGAGACAAAGAAGGCCATTACATATTGGTAAAAGGATCAATACAACAAGAAGAGCTAACGATCCTAAACATATATGGACCCAATGCAGGAGCACCCAGATACATAAGGCAAGTTCTTAATGACTTACAAAGAGACTTAGACTCCCACACAATAATAGTGGGAGACTTTAACACCCCACTGTCAATATTAGATCAACCAGACAGAAAATCAACAAGGATATCCAGGGCTTGAACTCAGACCTGGAGCAAGCAAACCTGATAGACATTTACAGAACTCTCCACCCCAAATCCACAGAATATACATTCTTCTCAGCACCACATCACACCTACTCTAAAATTGACCACATAATTGGATGTAAAGCACTGCTTAGCAAATGCAAAACAACTGAAATCATAACAAACAGCCTCTCAGACCATAGTGCAATCAAGTTAGAACTCAGAATTCAGAAACCGACCCAGAACTGCACAGCTTCATGGAAACTGAACAACTGGCTCTTGAATGTTGACTGGGTAAACAATGAAATGAAGGCAGAAATAAAGAAGTTCTTCGAAACCAATGAGAACGAAGACACAACATGCCAGAATCTCTGGGACACATTCAAAGCAGTCTCTAGAGGAAAGTATATAGCAATAAGTGCACATATGAGGAGAATGGAGAGATCCAAAATCGACGCCCTATCGTCAAAATTGAAAGAGCTAGAGGAGCAAGATCAAAAAAACTCAAAACCCAGCAGAAGACAAGAAATAACTAAGATCAGAGCTGAACTGAAGGAAATTGAGACACGAAAAACCCTTCAAAAAAATCAATAAATCCAAGAGCTGGTTTTTTGAAAAGATCAACAAAATAGACCACTAGCCAGATTGATTAAAACTAAAAGAGAGAACAACCAAATAGATACAATAAAACATGATGAAGGGGAAATCACCACAGACTTTACAGAAATTCAAACCATCATCAGAGAATATTACAAACAACTCTATGCACATCAACTAGTAAACCTGGAAGAAATGGATATATTCCTGGACTCCTGTGTCCTCCCAAGCCTAAACCAGGAGGAAACTGAAACTATGAATAGACCAATAACAAGGTCAGAAGTCAAGGCAGCAATTAAGAGCCTACCACACAAAAAAAGCCCAGGTTCAGATGGGTTCACAGCCAAATTCTACCAGACACACAAAGAGGAGCTGGTACCATTCCTTCTAAAACTATTCCAAATAATCCAAAAAGAGGGAATCCTTCCCAAATCATTTTATGAGACCAATATCATCCTGATACCAAAACCCGGCAGAGACCCAACAAGAAAAGAAAACTTCCGGCCAATATCCATGATGCACATAGATGCAAAAATCTTCAATAAAATATTGGCAAGCCGATTGCAACTGTAATTCAAAAAACTTATTCATCATGATCAAGTAGGTTTCATCCCGGGGATGCAAGGCTGGTTCAACATACGCAAGTCTACAAATGTAATTCACCACATAAACAGAACCCAAAACAAAAACCACATGATTATCTCAATTGACGCAGAGAAGGCATTTGACAAAATTCAACAGCCCTTTATGCTAAATACCCTCAATAAACTCGGTATTGATGGAACGTATCTCAAAGTAATAAAAGCTATTTATGACAAACCAACAGCCAATATCATACTGAATGGGCAAAAACTGGAAACATTCCCTTTGAAATCTGGCACTAGGCAAGGATGCCCTCTCTCACCACTCCTATTCAATATAGTACTGCAAGTTCTAGCCGGAGCAATCAGGCAAGAAAAAGAAATAAAGGGTATTCAAATAGGAAAGGTGGAAGCCAAATTGTCTCTATTTGCAGACAACATGATAGTATACCTAGAAGACCCCATCGCCTCAGCCCAAAAACCCCTGAAACTGATAAGCAACTTCAGCAAAGTCTCAGGATATAAAATCAATGTGCAAAAATCACAAGCATTCGTCTACATCAATAACAGACTTAAAGAAAGCCAAATCAAGAACGAACTGCCATTCACAATTGCTACAAAAAAATAAAATACCTTGGAATACAACTCATAAGGAACGTAAGAGACCTCTTCAAGGAGAACTACAAACCACTGCTCAACGAAATCAGAGAGGACACAAACAGATGGAGAAACATTCCATGTTCATGGTTAGGAAGAATTAATATCGTGAAAATGGCTATACTGCCCAAAGTAATTTACAGAATCAATGCTATCCCCATCAAGCTACCATTGACTTTCTTCACAGAACTGGAATAAACCACCATGAACTTCATATGGAACCAAAAGAGAGCCCGCATAGCCAAATCAATTCTAAGCAAAAAGAACACAGCGGGGGGCATCACACTACCGGTTTTCAAACTATACTACAACGCTACAGTAATCAAAACAGCATGGTACTGGTACCAAAACAGACATATAGACCAATGGAACAAAACAGAGGCACCGAAGGCAACACAACATATCTACAACTATACAATCTTTGATAAATCTGACAAAAACAAGCAATGGGGAAAGGATTCCCTGTTTAACAAATGGTGTTGGGAAAACTGGCTAGCCATGTGCAGAAAGCAGAAACTGGACCCCTTCCTGACAGCTTACACTAAAATTCACTCCAGATGGATTAAAGACTTAAACATAAGACCTGGCACGATAAAAACCCTAGATGGAAATCTAGGCAAAACTATCCAGGACATAGGAGTAGGCACGGACTTCATGAAGAAAACACCAAAAGCATTGGCAACAAAAGCCAAAATAGACAAATGGGACCTAATGAAACTCCACAGCTTCTGCATGGCAAAAGAAACAGTCACTAGAGTGGATCAGCAACCAACAGAATGGGAAAAAATTTTTGCAGTTTACCCATCTGACAAAGGGCTGATATCCAGAATTTACAAAGAACTCAAACAGATTTACAGGAAAAAAACAAGCCCATTCAAAAGTGGGCAATGGATATGAACAGACACTTTACGAAAGAAGACATATATGAGGCCAACAATCATATGAAAAAATGCTCATCGTCACTGGTCATCCGAGAGATGCAAATCAAAACCACACTGAGATACCATCTCACGCCAGTTAGAATGGCGATCATTAAAAAATCTGGAGACAACAGATGCTGGAGAGGATGTGGAGAAAAAGGAACACTTTTACACTGTTGGTGGGAGTGTAAATTAGTTCAACCATTGTGGAAGACAGTGTGGCGATTCCTCAAGGCCTTAGAAATAGAAATTCCATTTGACCCAGCAATCCCATTACTGGGTATATATCCAAAAGACTATAAATCTTTCTACTATAAGGACACATGTACACGAATGTTCATTGCAGCACTGTTTACAATAGCAAAGACCTGGAATCAACCCAAATGCCCATTGATAATAGACTGGATTGGAAAAATGTGGCACATATACACCATGGAATATTATGCAGCAATCAGAAATGATGAGTTTGTGTCATTTGTAGGGACATGGATGAATCTGGAGAACATCATCCTCAGCAAACTGACACAAGAACAGAAATTGAAACAGCGCATATTCTCACTCATAGGCGGGTGATGAAAAATGAGAACACATGGACACAGAAAGGGGAGTACTAAACACTGGGGTCTATTGGGGGGAAAAGTGGAGGGCCAGTGGGAGGGGGCAGTGGGGAGGGATAGCCTGGGGAGAAATGCCAAATGTGAGTGAAAGGGAAAAGGAAAGCAAAGCACATTGCCATGTGTGTACCTACGCAACTGTCTTGCATGCTCTGCTCATGTACCCCAAAACGTAAAATCCAATAAAAAATTTAAAAAAAAATGAAAGAATGAAGAAAGATATTCTATGCAAGTAGTAAAAAGGGCAGGAATGAGTGCATGCAGCTGATCCTTGAACAATTGGTCGTGGGTTAGGGGCACTGACCCCTGACACGGTAAACACACACACCCTTGGCCTCTTCCAAAATGTAGCTACTAGTAGCCTATTGACCATAAATTAACACGTATTATGTATGTGTATTATATACTGTATTCTTACAGTAAAGTAAGCTAAAGAGAATATTAAGAAAATTGTAAGGAAGGGCCGGGTGCAGTGGCTCACACCTATAATCCCATCACTTTGGCAGGCCAAGGTGGATGAATCATGATTCAGGAGTTTGAGACCAGCCTGACCAACATGGTGAAACCCTGTCTCTACTAAAAACACAAAAATTAGCCAGGCATGGTGGCATGTGCCTGTAATCCCATCTTCTCAGGAGGCTGAGGCAGGAAAATCACTTGTATCTGGGAGGTGGAGGTTGCAGTGAGCCTAGATAGTGCTACTGCACTCCAACCTGGGCAACAGTGTGAGACTCCATCTAAAAAGAAAAAAATCGTAAGGAAGAAAAAATGTGTTTATTCATTAAGTGGAAGTGGACCATTATTAAGGTCTTCATCCTATTATCTTCACATTGAATAGGCTGCTGAGGAGGAGGAAAAGGAGAAGTCAATCTTGCTTTCTCAGCGGTGGCAGAGGCAGAAGTGGAGGAGATGGAAGGGGAGTCGTGAAAGGCAAACATACTTGGTATAAGTTTCCAGAACTACAACATAATTTCTGTCTGATGTTTTTGCTTTTTTGTTTCCTAAGAATGTATCTGTACAGTAACAGTTCTATTGTTTGCTTTAATTTTAGCACCTATATTATAAAAGGGTCCATGTCAAGTTATAAGCAGTCTTGAATAATTGGAAACCTTCTGCCAGATTGTCTAATGGCAGTTTGTTTTATGACCTTGTTTCTTCTATGTCATATGCCTCATCATTTGGAAGTGCTCATCTCTGTGAAGTCATCTTCTGTTAATTCCTCTGGTGTGATGTCTATTAGATCTTGAATTTCTCCAAGAGCCATATATTGAAATCTTTACTCTCTTGCTTCCACCATTTTTTTTGCCATATCCACGATTTCTTTTATGATTTCCTTGATTGGCTCTGTCATAAATCCTGTGAAGTCATGTACAATATCCGGATATAGTTTTCTCCAGAAGGAATTTATTGTTTTGGACTCAAATGGCTTCCATGGTTTTTTCCTTTAACAGTGATGGCATCTTCAGTGCCAGTGGTGTCAGCTTTCCAGACTTTCAGGATGTTCTGTCATTGTTCTCTTCCATAGCATTAACCACCCTTTCCATGGAGTACCATTGTAATGAGCCTTAAAGTTTCTTATGCCCTCCTCAACTAGCTGAATTAGAGACACTGTTTGGGGGCACATAGACCACTTTGACAACTTTGGTGTTGAACTGATGCGGTTCTGGGTGGCCAGGGGCATGCTCAATATCAAAAGGCTTTCAAAAGGCAGTCCCTTATGAGAAAGGTATGTCCTGACTTCAGGGACAAAGCATGGATGAAACCAACTTAGAAAAAGGGTTCTCACTGTCCAGACCTTTGTATTGTGCAACCAAAACACTGGAAGCTGATGTTTATTTTTTCTCAAGACTGGGTATTAGCAATTTCACAGTTCCTGTTGTACAGTTGCCTCATTTGGTCTATTCCATTGGAAAGTCCCTAGTTATGTAAGTTAGTTGGCTGCTACTGATTGGTTGAGCATGTATCATATATCTCTGATAACCTGCTTTAAAGTCTGCTGTATCTGAAATTAATATAGCTATCCCTAGTTTCTTTTGATTAGTACTAGGATTCCGATATTCAAATGACCAGCATCATTTGTTGTACAGATAATCTTTTCCTATTGAATTACATTGGCAACTCAATAGGGTACTCTCTGCCTAGTTTCAGCCCATGTGGAGAAATGTTAAATGACCTAATGAAGAAAAAGCTAGAAATCCTCAGGGTGCCCAGGCAGGGATCCTCCTCTCTAGAATTGAATTTCTGTTATCTTCATTACTTCTGCCACTCTTCAATGTCTTTGAAAATACAAAAAATGCAACTGTTATTATTTGTCTAGTTTTTTCTAGGTTTTGAAGTGGGAGCATTGGCCTAATGCAACTTAGTAATTATATCCTTTTTTAGGAGTGGAGCACAGAATGACATAAGATAACTTCTAAACTAAAATAAAATTGCAATGCATCAGAATTTATAAGCTGATGTACAAACTAAGGTATAAATAATGTTCATTATCATACACAATTCTTAGCTATTAAAGAAGAATGAACTCCATTGCTTTAATGCCTGTGAATGGACCATACTCTTATTATCGACTTGGAAACTTTGTCAATGATTTGACAACCTATCCTTGATATTAAGATTCACATTATTAACATCAGGCTGGGTGCGGTGGCTCACATCTGTAATCCCAGTACTTTGGGTGACCCAGGAGGGTTGGGTGGATCACTCTAGCCCAGAAGTTTGAGACCAGCCTGGCCAACATGGTGAGACCTTGTCTATAAATCTATAAAACAAAAAGTATTCCTGTCTAAAAAACTAAACTAATCTACAAATAATTGAAAAAATAGCCAGGTGTGGTGCCTGTAGTCCTAGCTACTCAGGAGGCCGAGGTGGGAGGATCATTTGATTGGAGATTGCAGTGAGCCAAGATTGCACCATTGCACTCCAGCCAAGGTGACAGAGTGATATCCTGTCTCAAACAACAAGCTAAATAAATAAGATTCACAATTATTATAATTCAAATAATTCTTGTTATAGTATATAACTTTTCTACTCAGCAGTTAAATAGTAATGCTAGGTACAAGGCTGAAAATGTATTCCTGAAAATCCTCAATTTATGAACTGAAATTTGCTGTTATAACGAGATATTCAAACCACCACCCTCAGGTACGGTTATTGTAGTAGACTCCACTCTGAAATATCCAAATTAATGCCCAAATTTAAAAACAACATTAAAGAATAAATATGTTACAGTGGTTGTAGGTATATGTTAAGGATTCATCCTTTTTTTTTTGAGACGAAATTTCTCTCTTGTTGCCAAGGCTGGAGTGCAATGGCACGACCTTGGTTCACTGCAACCTCCGCCTCTTGGTTGAAGCCTCAGCCTCCCGAGTAGCTGGGATTACAGGCGCCTGCCACCATGCCCGGCTAATTTTTTTGTATTTCTAGTAGAGACGGTGTTTCACCATGTTGACCAGGCTGGTCTCGAACTTCTGACCTCAAGCAATCCACCTGCCTCGGCCTCCCAAAGTGCTGGGATTACAGGTGTGAGCCACCGCACCTGGTCTATATTTATTAAATTTTAAGAGTTGTGTAAACATCGTCACAATTCAATTTTACATTTATATCACCCAAAAACATTCCTTCTAGCCAATATGCTGTCAGTCTCCCCTCTAACCCCCAGCCAATCGCTGATCTTCCCAGTCTCTATAAAATTGTCTTTCAGCCTGGCCAAAATGGTGAAACCCCATCTCTTAACAAAAAATACAAAGATTAGCCAAGGGTGGAGGCACGCACCTGTAGTCCCAACTACTCAGGAGGCTGAAGTGGGAGAATCGCTTGAACCCAGGAAGTGAAGGTTGCAGTGAGCTAAAATCGTGCCACTGAACTCCAGCCTGGGTGACAAAGTGAGACCCTGTCTCCAAAAAAAAAAAGTTTTCTAGACAATAATATAGATATGTAGTCTTCTATGTCTGACTCCTTTTATTTAACAAAGTGATTGTTTTAGGTTCATCCATGTTGTAGGGGTTCTAGTTTCTACATATCCTCCACATCATTTGTTATTTTCTGTTTTTATAATAACAATTTTAGTAATTATGTAGTGGTATCTCATTGTATGTTTAATTTGTACTTCTCTCATGACTAATGATATTTGTTTTGTTTGCATTTGTATATTTTCTTTATTTTTTGAGACGGAGTCTCAGTCCATCATTTAGGCTGGAGTGCAGTGGTGCCTTCACAGCTCACTACAACCTCCACCTCTCAAGTTCAAGTGACTCTCCTGCCTCAGTCTTCTGAGTAGCGAGGATTACAGGCACACACCACTATGCTGGCTAATTTTTGTATTTTTAGTAGAGTCGAGATTTCACCAGGCTGGTCTTGAATTCTTGACCGCAGGTGATCCACCTGCCCCAGCCTCCCAAAATGCTGGGATTGCAGGTGTGAGCCACTGTGCCTGGCCCTTGCATTTATATATTTTCTTTGGCAAAATGTCTCATTCAAGTCTTTTCCATGTTTTTAGAATTGGGTTGTTTGTCTTATTAAGTTATAAGTTTCTATATGTTCAAGTAGTGAGACATCAGAATTATAATTTGCAAATATTTTCTTTTCTCTCTTTTTTTTGAGATGGAGTCTCAGTCTGTCACCTAGGCTGGAATGCAGTGGCACGATCTCAGCTCA